CTGACAGGCACTTCCCTAAAGTGGTGCATAGTGATGGTTCTCAGTGAAATAGTTACTGAGGTGAAAATATGGTTATTAAGATGAGTCAATCATAATGACCTTAAGTAGCTGATTTCCCAGTTTTCAGTTGTCTGTTCAGAACTTCAGCTGGGGCACCTCTCAAGAGGTGAGTGAAGGAAGGTTGTATTTCTGGGGGGTTTTTTCAAAGGAAATTAGGAAGTCCTCGTGTTCTCAGAAACCACTTTTGGGATGGTCATTTGGTAGCAGAGTTCAGGGGCATGTGGGACTTGTGAGGGGGAATTTCTAAGGGCTTTCAGCTCTATATGCCATAGATGAACTGTTCTGCAGGCTTCTGTCTGCGTGAGTTCTTCCCAGTGAGAGCTTCAGAAAGGATATGTTGGGCATTTTGGTCCTCTGCTGAGGTTTTGAATTACCTTGTTGATGAATACTTGCAATGACAGTCACCATATTTGACTTCAGTCTTTCCCGTACTCTAGAATTAGCTCTATGTCAGAATTCCTCTGTCTATACAGTTCTGCAACATCTTTGCAACCTTCATTTTGAGTAAAAGTATTAATGGCAGCAACAAAACATCTTACTTGTTACTTTCATGAAAGCTCTTGGATTAGTTTAATTCCTGCTTCTCAGAATGCTGACCAGAAGCCTCATAGAGATATTACACATATTATTTTATCCCTGCATATTTTGAATACAAGCTGTATCAGAGATATTAAATGGTGTTTTAACCATAATGGTCTATTAAATTTTGCGCCTTTTAAAGTGTAAATTATTTCCATAATGGAGGGCGATTGCTCTGCTTTGTCAATCCCTCATCAATTCATGGACCCTGCAGGGTGTATGTGCAACCTCATGTTTGAGGGATTATATATGCAACCCCCATCATTGTTTGTTCTTCAATAAACAGCCTCTAATGACCAAAGCTGTGTGTGAGCTGTTATTTAACAGCTAAAAAATTTGCCAGAACTGTTATTGCCCTTCTAGCAGAGAGCTTGTTGTTTGTGAATGCTCAGAGGGATCTTGAATCAGATTATTAACTCCTTTGCAATCAGTTTTCCTTCAGTGTTAATTGTGCTGCTAAATCCCAGGATATTGTGTTTAAAAATAACTCAAAAGTCAGTGTCACATCACAGACACATTTTTATGCTTGAAAGAACAGATGCCTAAGTTGTGGGTGCAACCTGCCTGTAACAACTCGAGTTCTGTTGTGAATTGTGTGTTTACGTGCACAGGAGGGATGCTTGTGATGTTTGTACACACACATCTCAGAACTACCTCCCTTCATACCTTCTCCTTGCCACCTCTAACATATAATCATTGTGTGTCGTGGCAGGAGGTCCTAGGAATTATTGGCAGGTATTTGATGTATAAGACAAGCCTTTGCAACACGAGAAAAGGTCCTGCTTGGTGCCTCTGAGTAATTTTAAAAAAAAATTCAGGTTGTAGAATTTTACGAATGGAAAAATATCAGTCTTGTTCTTCCACCACAGATGTGCACACATAGCTCTGCCTAAGATGTTTAGTATTTGGATTAAGTATTAGCTCCCTTTTGTTCACAGACTGTGCAAGCAGCTTGTAAATTATGGAGTAAAAATGAGGGGCTGTAACTACCTAGTAATAAGTAATGCCTATGCATTCTGGACTTTAGCACTAAAAATGGTGCTGATTTAACAACTCATCAGCATTTCTGAGCTTGCAACAAGAGATGTAGAGGCAGAGCTGGACTTTTTGCCTTTGAGGTGTGTACAAGTCTTTCTCTCCTAGGTAGCAGTGTCTTTGTTGAAGTGATTGCCAATGATAGTTTTGTATCTCAATAAAATGATGGTGCCAGGTTATAGATAAGACCTTTCACCCTGCAGAATTCTAAACGCTGTAATTCTTTAATCCTGCAAACACAACTGTATTGACAGAAAATTGTGGTGAGGAGGAGTTTTAAGTCAAGGTTAAGGGAACAGAGAAGTGCTGTGAGTTCCCTGCTGTCCACAGGAACATCTGTGCAATCTTAAATGAAAGGCTGGCTTTGTGGTGTCAGAAATCGAGAGACCTTTTCTTTTTTGTGGCACTCACCCAGGGCAGCCTGCAAAGAGTTTTTATTCTTGTTTTTATTCTTCTCACACCAGAAGTAAAGATAATAACGCTCCTTATTGTGCCCCATCTATTTGCAGAGCAAGTTCTGTGGAGTGCAGGAGGTCTTTTTTTAAGTCCAGGTCTATACTCCAAAGTTGTGCTGGTGGCACTGCACGAGAGCTGAGGTTATAAAAAATTAATCCTCCCTCACAGAAATCATGTTGTTAAAGTTCTTTCTGGCAAGGATGCTGACCTCCTGTCTTTCCATCCTAGTTCTGCTATGAAAATGAATGTTCATTTGCAAACATGAAGGAAAACCGTTAGCATTCTTTCAAATCAAAATATAATCACATCTTCCTGATTTCAAAGCCCTTCCCTCTTGGCAAACCTCATTAATTATCCCAGACAGGTGTTTTTGAACAAAAGCTCCTTCTTGCGTTCTCTCTTCTTCTCCAGCCTCCTACTTGAGCTAATGAAGCTTCAGTGATGTTTGTGGAACAATGGAGCAATTTATGTAACTGCAGGTTGGAGAGAGCAAATAAGGAATGGTAATTGAGGAGGGGCCGGAGGAGAGGCTGCGGGGGCAAAGTTCCTCTGTCTGTGTAAAGAGATCTCTCATTACTGGTGATTGGGGAGGAAGCATTACAGAGCCAAAAAGACAGTAGCTGTGCTGATAAAAAATGTTCTTTGATAGTTTATTGATATGCAGATGCTGCTCTGTGAAAGGACCACAGACCTTCTTACGTCCTTGAGTTAATGGAGTGTAGGTTTGGGTTAAGGGAGGGGAACTGGCATTGCCTCCACACGGCTCCTGTGGGAAGTCACTGATTTAAAAAGCTCCTGGGCATGACTTACAGCTGTGTGAATGCTGTTTACTAACACCCTGTGCATAAATTGGGTGATTCTCTCTGGAATTAGCTGGGCTTCTTTTCTGTGTGCACTATGGAATTGAAGACTCTCTGCTTCACTCAATATTTGATGCATATTTATAATTACAGCAGGTCTTCTTTCCTGGTTGTTGAAAACAGGTCCTGCCTGCTCTGTTTATGCCTAGACAATAGGAAAGAGGCATTTTTTTAGCAGGTATGGTAATATAAATTATACACAGATGTTTTGCTGGGCTAGTTGACAAGCAGCCCTGCCTTGTCTAGAGTGGTTATGCATTTTCACAGTTCTTATTTGATTATGCCTAGAAACTCCCTAGTCCCTGCCTCTTCCAAATGCATATAGACATTTATATTCTGAACACTAAAAATCAGCAGAATTCAAATACTCCTTTAAGCATGTTTGAATTAGTCATCAGCTACTCTGAAACTTCTCGACCAGCTCAGAACATTTTCAGTATGAAAACCAGGCTCGGGTGTGACTTCATGTCCAGGCATAAGTAGTTATTTTTCTTTTTTATTTGGCAAGGCAAGAGCTTTTATTTCAGGAAGGAATATAAGTATCTTCTCTGCAAAATCCACTAATGAATAAAATTACTTTCAGCCAAGTGTAGATAATTCTGCCCATATGGAGGTCAGAGACCATGAAAATACTGTGCAAAAGGCTCACAATGAAATATGTCCATTTCTTCACTCTTTGGGAAATGAAGGTGTAACAACCAGTACCTTTTTATTAGACTCAACAGTCTAGTAGTCCCACCTCTCCTGATGAACAAAGGAAGAGAATCACAGTTGGAAACTTGTGCCTTGGTCACGTTATAACTCTTTCGTTTTTAGGCATGCCAGTGGGGTTTGTAAGTCACAGGAAGAAATAGTGTTAATGTAACTCGGAGTTAGTGTTAATGTTAATCTCAGTTGCTTGTAACATGCTCTGGAAAACACCCCAGGTTGGAGAGAATTGAGTGATGTGCACTCTCCACACCCTCAGTGTGCTGTCAGCAGCCTGCTAAGCAGAGGTAAGAGACACTCAGCTGTTTTGGGAGCTGTTTTTTTTGTGAGATTCATAGACTTACCTGCCTCCTCTGGCAAATCCATAAATGTTTTACTTCCAGTTGGATTTTATCATTCCCACCAACACCTTGTTTACCATAAAATATTCAGCAAGCTTCATATAAAAATACTTTATTATGGTTTTCGGAAGGGAACAGACAGAAGGGAAAGGTACGAGCATCCTGTCAATTCACAGTACATTTCAAAGGGTACATTTTAACCCATATATAAACAAACTGACAGAACATGTCACAAGACTGAAACATCATATACACAAGACAAGTCATCATTTAAATCCTGACTTCAGATGACAATACTGATCTACTTAACAAATATCACTGGAATACAGTTGGATGGCATTTTCTTTTACTCCTAGCAGCAGCCAAAAAGCAGTTTGCTTGCAACAGCGAGGTGTAATTGGCAATCACAACATCATAAGCTTTTGGGTACTACTTTACAGCATTTGGGCTTCTATTCATAAATGTAGTTTTCAGACTTATGATCTTGAGCTTTCCCTGCCCAGTATTGTTAAATATGAGCGTTTACCACGGCAACTAAATACATGTTTGTGTTACCACATCACTGAGCAGTGCCAACAGAGATGGGCAGTGCAAGTCATCTGCTTTTTGTTCATACTCTGTGCCCAAAGAGGTTACAGAACACACGGGCAGGTGTGATGAAGCATGAGATGGGAAGCAGAGATAAAATGCCCCAAGATTTTATGTTAAAACCAAGGCTAGAGCCCCTGGTCTCCTGAATCTGGTGCTCTGTCTGTGGAATTAGTTGACTGCTTTGAAAAAATTAAGAAATTAAAGAATTGATGCTCATGTTGACTGATTATGTTGATCTCCATCCAAGTGATGTGTTTTAAAAGGAAGAATGCAACTGTTCTGAATCTTGCTAAAATTCCCCACTTCTTGGGGAGTGGAAGGGACATCTATTGCACCCCGTGGAATAGGGATCCAGATTATGGCTGCAGCTGCTGTAGCAAAAGGGATAAACAAGATGTTTCCTCTGTGTAATATCTTAAGAAAAAACACTCCCATTTATGGGAAAAATCAGGTCTGCAAACAGCTAAACTGTAATTTAGTGCAATGGTTTAAAGTCAGATATTAATTTTTTAGCTTTTATTTTTCCGTTTCCATTTTTCTTTATTTTAGCAAGATGCTGGTGCTGCTCAGCCTGACTAGGTGGCAGCAGAGCTCTTTTGTGGCACCTGCAAGTGGCGGACACAGACTTCACGGTCTGTGGTTAATGTCAAAAAAACAAACCCTTTACCCTCCCATGCTGTGGGATTTTGTTGTTGATGAACTAGAATAAATTAACAGTGGTCTTCCTGCTGCCTTCCTCACCTGCCCCAGACCACTGCTCCCAGCTCCCAGGTTCTTCCAAGGAAGGAAGCTGCATTCCTACACCGATGGTGGAGTATCAAACCAAGACCCTTCTCATCCTCACACAGGGCTGGCTTCACTTTCAGCAGTTCTGAAGGGCATCATGAGGTTGAATCTTCAGCTTCTTGGGACAGAGGAGTTTAATAAAAGCCCTTCTGAAGCTGTAGTGGCAGAGAGGGTATAGGACAGGGTTGATGGCCGAGTTGATCCACAGCAGCCAAAAGGAAGTCTCGTACCAGTACTCAGAGATGCAGTGGCCGTGGCAGCCAGCACGGATGATCATCAGGAGAGTGTATGGTGCCCAGCAAATCCCAAAAATGCCCACGATGATTGCCAGGGATTTGGCCACTTTCTTGTCTCTAGAGAGCCTGAAGTGTTGAGTCGTGCTCTGGGACATGACCTTCATCCGTTTCTCTAAGGATGGAGTGGATGCTGAATTTTTACAGCTCTTTTTGTTGCAACACCTGGGTTTCCCAGAGCTCTCCGAGCTTGTTGTCAGCACATCTTTGGCACCCAGGCTAGAAGTGGAGGCTGTTGCTTGAGCTTTACTCTTAGAGAGGTCGAGGGTTTCAGCTGACTCCTTCTGCTCCCACTTAGAGCATTTCAAAGAAAGCTTTGCTTCTGGGCTCGTTTCCATCTCTTCAGTGAAGGACTGGTTGTGCACTTCATGGAAAATATCCAGGCGTATCTTGGTACGCTTCTGTATGTTCAGGTAAATGCTCAGGTTGAAAAACATTACACTGATGAAAGGGGTGAAAAACTCCAGGGTAGAGGCTGTCATGAGAAAATACCAGTTGTAGAAAAACTCAGCGTAGCACTCCCCAGTGGGAATGATACTCCGGCCTGATATGTACTCCCAGCTGATAATGGCAGGTCCGTACAGCAGGAATGCCAACACCCACACCATCACCATCTTCAGCACTGCTTGCTTGGTGTTGCCTTGCTGGGCTCTGTAAGCGACCTGCAAGAGGAAAACCTTTTCTTAAGGATGGTCACACACCCCAACTGGTTGAGGCTCCTCACAAATGAGCCGGTAGCGTTCCTGGTAAAGTTGCTAGGCAATACCCCGGCAGTCTAATAAGCTCATATGCCTTAGGCAACAGGAGCAATTGCTAGATAAATCAAACTCTTGCAGGGAAGATTTAGAACGCTCATTTTGCAGCTCTGAAATGTGGTGTCTGCTTAGTGGAAATGTACTGACTCGGTTGGAGCCCGGCAGTCACCCGCACCCACCACTTGCCTGAGCTGTCCCCAGCTACTCCCTGTAACTCCCAGGGAGATGCATGCATCAAACTCCTGGGTAAAGCAGGCATCCAGCTCTGGCTCCCTCTGAGCCTTGTAGATACTCTGTGTTGTATTTGGAGTCAGGGAAGGAGCAAACAGGAATGGATCAGATCTGCCTGTGGTGAACTGCTCGTTGCCTGCTCATGACGGGATGAGCATTTTTATCTCCCCACATACCCAGAGACCTCGGGGCTGTGCCCTGCCAAGGCTGGTACTGCAATCTACTGCCTTGGTAGCCAGGGAGAAGCTGTGAGTCTGACTGCAAACCACTTGTTCATCCTGGTGATGATAAGCCCCTGCAAGTTAGTAATAGGTCTCCTTACCTTGCTGGCTCCCTTGTACACTACTATCCTGTCATCTGGGAAGGGAACACCTGCACAATGGGGTCTGAGGCTTAAGTGATTTAATTATGCCAGGAATACTAATCTGAAACCAGAGCTGAATTATGTATTTGTGGATAATTATTGCTTTCCATCACCAGGCTGAAAGATTCATAATTTCTGGAGGATTCAAAAGCTTTTAATTATTGCAGAAAATCTGGAGAATAAGGCAGGAAGAGAGTTGTTTCCCTCTCAGCTGCCATGACAGGACTCACCGCTCTTGTCACCGAGAGGAATCTGTCATAGCTAATTAGTACGATGTTGAAGACCGAAGAGGTGCAGAGCAGGTAATCAACTACCAGCCAGAGTTTGCAGAGGCTTTTCCCGAAGATCCATCTCCCCGTCAGCACATAGGGCACGTACAGGGGGATGCAGAAGGCACCTGCAACCGGACGGGTACGTTCTCGTTGAGAAGAGGGGTGTCTGCAGCGCGGGTGCCCCCGGGGAGAGCCGCAGGTGCCGCGCTGGGACCGCGGGACCCGCCGGGGGCGGCGGGAGGGGACCCCGGGACCGCGGGAGGGTGTCGGGGGGCGGAGCCGGGCCACGGCCGGGGGACCCGCGGGCCGGTGGGGCAGAGGGTTGCCGGGTGCGGGCGAGGAGGAGCCCCGGGGCGGCCGCTGCCCGTCCCGCCGCCAAGTTGGCCGGCGGTCCGTGCGGGGACGCGGGGCCCGCGGGCGGCGGCACTTTACCTACTAGGAAATCGAGATGGCGCAGGTTGAGGAGGAAAAAGAAGTTGTTCTGGTGCGCAGGTGGAGTCCCGCCACATAGGCGCAGCATCACCAGCGCGTTAGCCGGCCACGGTGACGGCGGATGAGCCAGGGCCATGAGCGCGGCCAGCGCCGCCGTGCCGCGGCCGGCGAAGCGGCCCGGCGGCGGCCGAGCCGTCCAGCGCCCCGCCGCATCTTCCATGCCCCGCCGCTCCACCGCCGCGCCGTCGCCGCGGGACTGCTGCCCCTCCCCGCCCGCCCGCCTCCCGCCCCGCCAGCATCCCCGCATACTCCCCCAGAGCAGCCCCGAATCCCCCGGAGCATCCCTGCATCCCTACAGAGCATGCCTGAGTCCCCCTAAGCATCTCTGAGCATCCTTACGTTCTCCCTTGCCCTCTCAACACGGGAGCACCCCTGTATTACCCCAGAACGGTCCTACATTCCTCCAGAGCATCCCTGAACCCCTACACAGCAAACCCGAGCATCCCCACGTTCTCCCTTCCCCTCTCAATCTGGGAGCATCCTTGCTTTACCCTGGAGCATCCCCGTATCCCTGAAGAGCATCCCTGAATCTCTCCAGAACATCCCCGAATCCTCCAGACCATTCTCTCCCATTCCTCTTTCCCCTCTCAGCCTGGGAGCATCACTGCATTACCTCAGAGTATCCTTGCCCCCACACACAGAGCATCTCTACATTCCTCCTTCCCCTCTCAACTCAGGAGAATCCTTGAATTCTCCCAGAGCATCCTTGCATTTTGCACAGCAACATTCCTGCATCTTCCCAAAGCATCCCCCGAGACAGAGGCCAGGGGGAGTGCTTATGATTCCTGCCGTGGGGACTGTGCCTTAGTGAGAGAAGCAGAGGTCGGGGCTTCACTTGCCTTTTAATCAGAGGCAGCCAGGAGGGCTCCCTGGGCAGGTGGAGCGTGAAGGGTGATGCTTTTGCCTGTGCCCCTCATGGGTGTCAGGAGGAAGATGCAGACTGTGTCACTTGGTCTGCAAATCAGGGAGTCCTTGCTCCCAGCCCCAGCTCCAGGGAGGCAATTAATGGTCCCTCCTCCCTCCACTTGTTCAGCTTTTTGTGGCCAAAGAGAATAACTTTTTTCTGAGTACTTGCTTTGGCTGGTGATACTGCAGGATGAAATTACCTACAACTGTACAACCCCTGCATATGGTCCACGCTCCAGACCTCAGGAGTGGAAATGTCACGAGTATCATGTCACTGGGCAGGATCAGCTCCACAATCAGCACTTCTGGAGGTCGTCACAGGGATGTGCAGCAATGCTGGAAACCAGAGAACGATACTGGCTGGAGCCCTTGGCCAAGCACTCTTCTTTCTGGAGAAGTCTGGTAAGTCGTGTGAGTCTGTGAGGAACAGATAAAAAAGCAAAGCAAGAAAATTGTGCAAACCTAGAAACATGCCCGAAGCTAATGCCCAGGGGTTTTGCCACCTTCTGATTGCTCCAAAAGCTATTTTCACATCAGGAACTGCTATAGCCTCAGTACATTTCTCTTCAAACTCTCTACCACAGGCACTGTCTTGATAGCAGTGGCTGATCCTGCTGGGAGGAGGGTGAGAGGGCTCTCGGTCTCCGCTGCTGCTGTGTCCCGACAGAGGATGTCACTGTGGGCTCGTGGAGCCGCGGGTGAGAGAGCTGAGGATGCCGTGGAAACTCCTGGTCAATGGGAGAACGGCTTTGAGGAACTTCATGCGTGGCTTTAGCACTGCTTTGAGGATAATCAGATTTAACAAGGCACCTGGCCGCCTTCCCTGCAGGGTGGTGAGCAGCCTGGCTGGGCAGCCACAGTGGAGAGGACCTGAATTTTATGCCTATTAGCACAGATGTGACGGAGAAACAGCTTTTTGGTAACCCTCATGATGTTTAATGTACCCACGCACTGCTTTCATTGTGCAACTGTTTGTGATCTGGCGTATTTGTAATCTCTAGCCACTCAGTCAAACGTTAGTATTCGTTGAAATGTTTACAAATTCCAAATTACTGTGTGCATGCTGCAGTGTTATCCCTAGGAGCTGTCTGCTGTTTCTTAGCTGCCATTCATTATACAGAGTTTTCACTGTCTGGATAGGAGGCAAAAACCATCCTTTGTGCCTAAGGTGATTTATAAAGTGATACAATGTAAAGTGGGCAAATCACAGTTATTGTTTATCCAGAGTAAATTGCCAGGATTGCTAGATAAATAAGAGGTGACAGAGCTGGTCCTGATGTTTCTCTCTTACTTCAGCAGACAGGACAAATATATTTCTAATATATTTCAGGAAACGTGCTATCTTGGTAATAAAGGAAATCACCCAGCCTGAAGGGGTGGTTACAACAGGTCACGTACAGAAATGAAGGCAGATGGTATGATAGCTAATGTTTGGACCTGGCTTATTCAGTACATATGCCATGGAGATATTCCATATGAGCCTAAGTACTTATGTATTTCATAACCCTGCAGTCAGGCCATGGAGTCCTCTTCTTGGTTAAGAGGCTGCCACAGACTCAGAGCCTTAATCCTTGTGGAAGTACAGGGGACAAAATTGGATCTTTCCAGAGGGTCAGAGTTGCAGTTCAGCTCCAAGCTCTCCTGAGCCTGGTTTCTGTTTATTCCAAGGTTGTGCCTGAGAAGCAGGGACTGAGGGTGGCAGATCACAGAATGGTTGAGGCTGGAAGGCATTTCTTGAGATTTCTTAGGCCAACTCTTCTGCAGGGTCAGATGCAGCAGGTTGCCCAGGATTTGTCTGGTCAGGGTTTGAATATCTCCAGCAAAGAAGACTCCATAACATATCTCCAGACAATCTGTTCCAGACTGCCCTCACAGTCAAAATGTCTTCTTTTGTCTGCTTCCTTTCTGTACTGAAAAGTACATGGGCTTGTCTGACATGAAGCTGCCACAAACCTGGATTCTGTGGGGAAATCATAGGGGAAAAAAGCTTATAGATCAGTAAAAATAGATTCCAGTGCTGTTGGAGGGCTGCTTATTTTGAGTCCTTCCAACCTTCCGTGGAGGAATCTGCACTTTGGTACAGGTTTAGATATGCATCATTGCAATCACACAGGGAAGACAGCTGTGTCCTGAAATCAGGGGTTATGGAAATCAGAAGACACATTAGCATCAGTAACCATTAATGAGGAAACAAGAGGTTTTTTGGCACCTTCTCTTCGTTCTGTGGCTGTCTTTCCATTTCCGTGGAGGCAGAGTTTCCACACTGAGGAGTTTGCCCTTCCAGGGGCAGTGAGGATCTGCAGGGCTGAAGGCAGCACAAGCTCCAAACCCCCAGACGAAGTGTTGTAACTGCTATGCACAAATCATAGTTTTTCCATTGCTTACTTCTGTCCCAGGGAGCCAGTTTGCCTGTGAAACAAACTTTAAAGAAAGAGATGATTAAAAAACCTCTTTGTGTTCACATCTTTACTGATGAGGGTTGAAAGTGCTTTGGCATTCGTACAAGTATCTGTCACTATGAAACCCGTCCCTTTGTTTTATTTCCTTTTCTTCTGCCTTTCATCATGGGAAATGTTTATTCTGTTGGGAAAATTCCCTTTTTTGAGATCCCCTTGGAAGTTACCAGAACACGTGGGTGAGGGTAAGGGCAGATGGCAGAGAAAAGAGATTCCAGAGCAGCTGAGGGCAAAAGGAGCCCTTAAGCTCCTGCTTTGCCAGACCTCAAAGCTACAGCACGAACCCTCACTATAAATATTTTACATGTAGCATCAGTGGGTAGGACACAGAAAATGCCAGGGGAGCATTTCTCATACTGGAGATGCCTTTCCAGTGAAATGATACTCTTTGATATATTTTTCTCTTTTTAAAACAAACTCAACAGCAACTTGTCTGTCCAAACTTTGGGAGCTATTAGGACTGACAACCAGCACGGCAATCCAAACCTGGATGGGACATGATGAAATCAGTTGCTGGATGTGCTTCATCCACTGCTCAGCCAGGTGTTAAAACAGCTTCTGCTGGTGGCAGAATGTCTCCTCCTTACCATGCTGCAAGGGACGTAATTGAGCAAGTCTGATGTCAGCTAAAAACAATGATGACTGGATCTCCTTAAAAATGCTGAGAAATACCCTGTGAACCAGCTTTCACAAAGGTAGGGAAAGCACTAACATCTCCACTCTCAAATCAGCACGTGCTGAGAGCTGCCCTGAGCAGCACCAGTGGCTGCAAAGCCACCATGTCCCTGAGAAGGACCACAAAAACTGGAGGGGAATTGTCCCCATCTAGGCACAGTGTGTGTCCATCTGTGTTCAGAACAAGTCCTGTGCCTTTTCACTCCTTTCCTGCCTTTCTTCTTTCCTCTCCTTCCTTTCTTCTTTCTCTCTCTTTCCAGCTGTAACCCGCAAATCCAAACTCCCCAGGTGTCCAAAAATGCATCCTGTACTGCAGGGAGACTGTTCATAGTCAGACCTGTCCCAGGCTGCTGTGACTGTTTTTGGATTCTTGAGAACTAACTCCTTAAAGTTACAAATCACCTTGTCACCTGAGAAAGTCACATTTCTATCCTTGTGCAAACCAAAGCAGTTTTGTGAGCAGGAAAATGCTGAGTTTAGTGACTCTGGGGGAGGAAAACACCTCAGAGCAGGATGAGTAATGCCATTAGTAATGAAGTAACTGTCTGATCAAACACCCGATTCTTGTTAAGGCCAACTCAATATTGTATTTTGAAATGAAAATTTCAGAGTACAAAGGGAATAAAACCAAAAGTCATCCTACATCTGTCAGCTTGGACTGAGTTGGTGGCTGCTGTTAAGACCAATACATGTTTTCAGAGAGAGACAGCAGGGTCTGAATATCAAGACATGATATCCATGTGCAGCTGCTACCAACGATGCTGGAAGCATTTTACCACATGGAGAAGTGAATGTTAAAGCTCTGTTGAAAAAGTATCCATTAAAATTGGTATTCCATCAGGGGATGGCTTAAGAGGCAAGGCTGGACTTTGTTCCTAATACCCTTAATGGCAGCAAGTGGTGTAGGTTATGAGTGACAAGAGGACATCTGGGGAGGACTAAAAAATTTCTAATTGAAGCCAATGCAGTTCCCAGGCAGATGGAAAATAGAGCAGCTGTAGAGAAATGAGCTGTGGCACAGTGTGCTCCTTAGCATTCCATCAAACTTTATAAAACTTCACAACACTAGGCAATTAGAGGGGTAGAGTTTAAGCCCACTTGTGGAGTCCATGGATTTCTTCAGAGCTACCACCAGGTTCTCGTGTGAGGAGACCTACAAATGTCAGCTCCCTTGCTTCCTGCAGGGCCTTGGAGGCAGGGAACTCATTGGTAACCTTATGTAATATTTAACAGACTTCCTTGGCT